CGGACGTGCCGGAGTGGGAGAATGCTGCTGCTGCTGCTGAGCTCCTCAATGACAAAGCATGATCCCCACCTCCCCCGAAAGCCTATCTGAGCCCTCTCACGGCGCAAGGTGAATACACACATGCACGCAGCTGCCCCTGGCTTTCACTGAGCGCTGACATCACTAATCCATAAGCCTCGCGCTTTCTAATAACGTGAATATTGATGGAGCTAATCTATCGGGTTGCCATAGGAGCCAGGATGGCACACGCGCTCACCCCGCCCAGGCAGGACAAACTGGAGAGGATGATTCAAGGATGCGATCTAGCATTGGAGTTGGTAGTTAAATAGTTGAGAGAATGTAATCTTAAGGTTTGGTGTTTGTGGCATCGGGCCTTACACTGCAACAAACAATTCTGATATTTGCCCAACCCGGTGAATGATGTTGGGCACAAAACTGACACTTAAGTCTGATTGACACGAGTTTTACACGAGCTGCATCCTGTGTTTAAGCATGCGTGGTTGTTTGTGATGCTCAGGATGCGCAAATCTTGTGCCCATCTTGGTCATTTCTGGTGGGCAACGTGGATAGTACGTCCTTGGCAGCACATGTACGGCAGGCAGAATGTGCGTCTATATGATGTGTATGGCTCTACTGCATTATCTGGGTTTCGCAGGTTCACCTGGCTATGAAAAAAATAAAAATAAAAACAGTCCACGTGGAAAAATCTAAGGAATGGCACCTGTAATCCATAAACCAACCCAAATTATTCTCTTAACTGCCCAGATTTCTCACCCAGGGTTAAAATATCTCAAATTGACCACCGGGTAATGATAGTATTGAATTTTATTTTTTCCCATAAACACTGGCATGATCCCCACTGTATAAATAACGCTGAATGCTTCATTGAAAATCATCAGTTGGGGGTTAATTAAAACTAAAATAGTGCACAAAGCTGTTTGGTCACATATCACCTGTGTTTTTGGCATCAGTGTTTCAGTTTTATTAGCTCAACAAGACAATTTTAGTTAAAGGGAGAAGCGATGAAATACTTCTGGCCAATGTGGCAAATTAATTTGATGAAAGGTTGTTGACAGCTGGCTGCATTAAGGTTGTATGATTCAATCCAAATGTCACTAAAGTGATTTAAACCATACAGCAATCTCATCTGGCTCACTGCCAACCAACAAGAAGGGCTGAACAGTTTGTTTCCCTCGAAATGTTTCCCCACGACACAGTGGTAAACTAATTAAAATCATCATTTGTGTGCCGCTTGCACAACTAAGAGAACTCTTCCTCCACTTAAATTATTTATTTTAATTCCCCGCCATCAGCGGCCACATAATACGCGGATATAAAGTAGCACACAGGGAAACAGGTTATTCTCTTTTATTTATTTGCTGCTTGTTAGTCTCCTAAAGGGATGCCCAGATAAGGACTTAACACTTTTTGTTTTACACCACAATCATCAAGCTTAGTGATGTTTGGTAGGCAGTAAAGCTAAATTGTCAGAGTTTTATTTCCAGCCCTTTCTGGTACCTGCAAATGTAAACATCCCAGCCTGCTGGAAATCAGGTCGGTGTGTCTTCACTGGGCTGCAAATCTGAATTTCCATGCAGTGTCATCCTTATTCGTACCCCTAGTGCACTGTATAGGTGGCTTTGGCTGATTTACATTTGACTACTTGCTTAATTTTCTGACCTGTGACATCACAATAGATCCCATCTTATCCCAAAATACAAGAAGCTCATCAAATGTTAAAAATAATAATAATAATTTTACACCCAAGTCAAAATGAGAAAACATGTTAGAGAAAACAATAGAGTCATACTCCTCACCAGCCATTTTCTTAGGTACATGTTTTCTTTAATTGCGCATTAATGTGTTAATATCAAATCAATATATCAAATCGTTATATCAATATATCAATAAATATAAACAATCTAATAAATATCTACTCAGCCAATCACCTGGCAGCAATTCAGTGTATTTAGGCATGAAGACATGATCAAGATGACCTGCTGAAGTTTAAACCGAGCACTAGAATGAGGAGGAAAGGTGATTTAGGTGAATTTGAAGATGGTGTGGTTGTTGGTGCCAGACAGACTGGTCGGAGTGTTTCCGAAACTGCTCATCCGCTGGGATTTTCCCACACAAGCATCTTCAGGGTTTAGAGAGAATGGTCCAAAAGAGAGAAAATATCCACTCAGTGGCAGATCTCTAGGTGAAAATGATTTGTTGATAGCAGAGGTCAGAAGAGAATTGCTAGACTACTGTGAGCTGATGGAGAAGTAACTCAAATAACCACCCAAGGTATGCAGAAAAGCATCTATGAGCATGCAACGTGTCCAGGCTTGAAGCAGATGGTAAATGGACTGGTTCTTGCATAGCACTTTTCTACACTACTTGAACACTCAGGGCGCTTTATACCCCATGCCTCTTTCACTCATTCATACATTCCTACTTTTTCTACACCTAAGTGCTCTCTATCTAATATTAACATACATTTATACTCCGATGAACACATTCAAGAGCAACTTGGGGTTCAGTATCTTGCCAAGGTGTACTTAGGCATGTAAACTGGAGACTTGGGCAGCCGGAGATCAAACCACCAGCCTTCCCATTAGTAGACCTGCTCTACCTCCTGAGCACCCCATCAGATGGGCTACAGCAGCAGAAGACGGTCAGGTGCCGCTCCTGTCAGCCAAGAACAGATACTTTTTATATAGATTATATACGCAGTTAGCACGCAATGAGCTCAAAATTCACAGAATAGACATGCTCTGTTGTAATCGTTGTTGCTTAAGATGTTTGTGCTGGCCATGGATTCTGGTGCTAACACATGCAGATGGAGGTGCGGAGCTGCCATTTCCGATCAAGAACAAGAAATGATAGGTTTACTGGGGTTTTTTTTGTTTGTTTTTCTGAACCTCTGAACTGGCAAGCAGAGGACGTGAGGCTCACAAACTCGAGGTTCTTTTTGCAAAAGCCAGGCAAGATGGACATAATCAGAAGAAAATGGGAGAGGGGTTTTAAAGAGACAGAAGCCAAAGTAGCTTGTATCAGTGCCGTTACATAAGTCTAGGGTGCTGAGACTCATACAAAGTTTGACTAGTTTGCAATAAGAATAGAGAGATTTAAACAACCCCTGAAATACTGAAAGTTACCGCTGTGAGTTAACGCTTCCACATTTGAGTAACATCGAGTATCTTTTCACATTGGAAACATTTTTTGTTTAAGTTAAAAAAAAAGATTCATTTTGACAAAATACCATTTCATTTAGGTGTCAAACAATTAATAAAATCATGTATTACCCAAAACTTCCATTTAAATGGTACGTCACACTGTATGATGCTATTTTGCACTAATCACTGCTTTGTTTCACTTACCACAAAAAGTCTTTATTTAAGACAACTAATTATATGCCATTTGTGACACATGATGTTGACAACTGTGGCAGCAGATGTAAATAAAGTCCCATAAATAAATAAATAAAACATTAATCTCTCCATTAAGTTTGGAGAACTCTTTAGATTTGCTATTAAAACAATCCGCTGGCTTGTTTAAGAAGTAGTCCATCACACCGGTTTAAAGTTCACCTGACATCCGAGAGATTAATCCGCCCCGAGAGAACAACAAATCATTTTTGTCAGGAGTTGTGTTCCCTCCTTTTTTTTCCGGGTTCACAAAGTCACAGATGTCTCTCTGCTCTAGAAATGGACTGATTTTATTACTGTTTGAATCCTGCTGACATATTAATCCAGGGTGCAGCATTACATCACAGGAATTAGACCCAAACAATTAATAAAACAGTTAAAAAAGACACAAAAAAAAAAGGTCAAAGAACAATAGTTTATTATTCTCTGGCTGGTAATAGTTTTTTAAAATATTCCTGAAAGTCCATCAGGGAAGAAACCGATGCTACCTTCCAGAAGGAATGACAAAATAGTGCCCGCCTTTGTTGGGCTGCAGCAGTTTCCCACATTTTGTGATGAAAGTGCTTCCCACTACAGCTCGAGGATAACACAGGAGAAAGAATATATGCTGTATTTATTTTAAATCTAGTGAGATATCATACTTCTTTTTTTTTTTTAAAGCTTTACAAGATAAATTGATCTCTGTTTTTTTAAAGAAGAAAAAGAAGAAGACGGAGCAGCAGAGGACAGTGTTTAAGAGGAACAGTTTCAAGTCCAGATATGGACTGATGTGAAAGTAATCTTTTTTGGGATTACATAAATGTCTGTGACTGCTCTGTTATCTGTTATGTTTGCAGTTTCGTACTATGCAAAGTGTTGAATAAAGTTTAACAAAAAGAAAAGGCTTCAAAGACTAAGGATGTCTCATGTGACTCAGGTTAAATTTGCACATTGATTTTTTATACTAAGCAAAAAGAACTGGTATCTAATGTACAACAAGAACACAGATCAGTCTCAGTAAGTGAACTGAGATGTATGTATGCATGCATATTCCAATGATGTGCACTAAAATCATGAATGCAAAGCTTTTAATGGCTGACTTGACATGTAGGTTTGCCTGTTTCACTACCTGACAACTTATAAAAAGCTCCCTCAACAGTGGCAGAACTACAAAGTCAAAGTATTTGACATTGCACCATAAAACAGAACTCTAAACATCGAGCCCTCTGAATATTTGAATCTGCTGTTTAAAACTCATTTCCCTTCCTTCATTTCAAGACGTGACCTCAGTGGCATCCTCCATTAATCCTAAAAAGAAAGGCAGCTTCATCCCTCGGCTGTCACTCAAAGTCCTTTCACCGTGTACTACTTTCTGTCTTTTCATATCTAATCTGATCCTTGATTTTCACAGCGTAAGACTTAAACGTACCCCCGAACACTTTCCTCACGGTTTGCAGGTCTTTATTGCTCTGATGTTCATCACTACATTCCCCATTTCGACCTCCTGAAATCTCACTAGATGGAGCTGTTCTCCACTTTTGAGAGTCCATGTGACTAAGAGTACAACTCTGTGTTTTGCAAAGAAACTGATTTGCCAGACATGTCTGATTTTTTAAAGATATTTATTTTTAAAAATGACTCGGGATCTTGGAATTGCTTCACATGTGTCAGCTCGGACGCGGGCTTTCCTTTCTGCCCCACGTAAGCTGTCGAGAATTCATGCAGCTGTGTTGTGTGCCATCGACGCTCTACGGTGATCCTACTAGATTAAAGCTTTGTCACAGAGAAATCAAAAGCTGCAATGATTTGCCATATACTGATATGGATGATAATTGCATAGGATAATAGCCATGCTGTACAATACACATAATTATAAAATAATACGTTAGAATGATTAGTACAGATTTCCTAAAGTAGGCTTTTATACAGGTTTTTTTCATACTTTTCAACATTTAAGTGCATCATATAATATGGATAGTCTTTATATTAACGGTGATCTGATACATAGTTATTATGATTTAATACATACAGTACATACATACAGTAGATCTTAATCAAATTTAGAGGGACATTGCAAAGCCCTTAAATGTAATAGATACTGTCGGATAAAATGAACCAATGGTATGCAGCAGGATGATAAAACTGTACACATCTGTCATACCAGATTACGGTGGTATTTTCTTTTGCTGAGTGTCGTTTTTCCTCTAAAACACACAGTACAGATTATTAAAATGAAGCCACTCTCAGAGAAAAAACAAAATAAAACCAAAAAAAGCCATTTCTGTAGCAAACAGAAGGTCAACGTCTTGCATGCATTATTTTTAGAAGTAGTAAAAATGTTAAATTAGTGGTTAAGAGCATGAGGAAAAATAATAAACGTCAACAACCGCATGCAGTCACAATGGTTATAATGTTAACAATTCTATAATGGTTTGGGTACCTCCTGACCTCACACCCTCACACAATAAAATCATAAGGCATGCCTCATTTAATTCCTCCACAACCATACTTTTAATGGCAGATGTGTCCTATAAACAACGGGTATGGAGTCCATTCTTGTTTACCTTCATATGGTCAATACATGTGTAATGAGACCTGCAGAAAAGAGAAGATTCAGCTTGTTAGCCCAGTGTAAATGCGATCTATTAGTATATATGAGTTATCCTGCGTGGCAAAAGCATTCAGTTATTGTTTCGTATAGTCAACTTGTATTCTTGGAGGGTCTTTACCTTTTAATATAAAGCACCTTGAGGCAACTGTTGTTCTCATTTGGTTTTATGTAATTACACTTAATTAAATTAAATTAAATCAAATCAGTCATCTTGGGTTTGTGGCCACAGGTCTTTATTATCAGGGCTTCTCTTAATAATTTAATACTTACTCAGCAGACAGGCTGCTCAGTTTGTATTCCTCTGGCGGAGATTCTTGTCTTTGTGGTTGTTGGTCGAGTTAGTTTTCCTTTACAAAGAAGTAAAACACACAATCAGCTCTCATCTCAAACAAAGCGTATATGAGGTGTTATCAAGCAGTTCTGTGATCAAATCCCTAAAAAAACCTCCAAAAAAACCGCCTTGTGGTGTAAATGGCAAATCTCAAATTCAAGGTTATCTTCTCATGCACCTTTACAGTTTATTCAGCAAGGCTGCTGCTTTTTGTCTTAAAACACATGATTGGACACTTCAAATATCAAATATCAACCGGTCTGGGTGGTGACCCATCATTTTTCATGAAGCTACCTACGCTCACAATGACACAAGATGGCACTCTGGCACAAATCCTTCATAGGGGGAAAAATATAAATCAGCTCGCTTGATATTTGGTCTCTTGGCAAAAATTTTTTGGACATGATCAAGAAGCTGATCTTGAACAGAGATGAGCCTAATTTAAATAAACTTTTGAACACATGTCATACACAGAAACTAGTGATCTCAGTCCTAACAACTGTAAAATGATTGTTGTCGTGTATGAAATAAAAATAGCTAATGCTCCGCTTTCTGTTTCATGACATAAAATAAACGCTGCAGGCTGCTAATTAACCAATTTTAACATCTGCAAGCTTGTGGTAGAAATTTACCATCATTTTATTTATAGATGAAACTGACTGATGTTGACAGTTGACTGATGCCTTGATGATGGCTCAGGGTTATTAATGCAACCACTGATGAAAACATCTACTACTACTGTTTGCAGCCATAAACTGTATATCAAAGATGGACATAGCCAGAGGATTGTCATTTAGTCCTTTTGTCATGTCTAGTCTCTAAACCTTTAAGTCTATATAATGCTGGGATGTCAAACTAATTCTACACCGAGGGCCGAGTCTGGCCCAGTTATGTGGGCCAAATGAGTGAAACTCCAATTTCTGTCAGTCTAAAGACATTTAACTACACATTTAATCCCCGAGATATCTTAATATAATATAAAGAAGTACAATTTCAACAGCACATGTCAGTTTTTTACATTAGAAATGTAAAAGTACAGAAAAGTCTTGCAGATCACTTCTTAGCCTTTCCTATATATATTTTGCTGGGTCACTTCTGGCCCCCTAGCCTTATGTTTGACGCCCATGCTATAATGTATTTTATACTAAATGGGACAATAAGTTATAAAATTAACATCACATTTTCTTTAACACGACTTAAAACTAGTGAATGAGACCATAAACACACAAGGAAAATGTTTACTGAGGTATTAAGTCATGTAAGAAGCATATTAGTTTTTTCTTCTATAGACATTTTGTTTCCCCCTGCTGGCCATTAAAGAGAATGCAGGTATATAGCACTCTCGCATTAGATTAGTTTTTAGATCTGAGGCTACCTCCATCTTTTACATTCAGTCTTTGACTGCAGCAAGGACAAAACCAGACCCAGGACCAGTTATGTAAATATTTTTAAAACATTTTTAAACATAATTTTTTACCTGCTGAGAGTTTTTTCTGTTCTTTTTTTGTGTGCATTTCAGTGAGCTAAGTTTTTTCCTCTTAAAAAAGATACTAGGTAACTAAAATTTAGGTTACCAGGACACCTATCAATAGATTACTGAAGCCAGGAGGGGAAACAGGAAGAACAAAACTATGCCTTAAATCACACATCTGCCTAAAACTACGTTGTAGCGTGTTAAAAAAAACATTTAATAAACAATGCATACTGCTTCTCACTGCCAAACATGGGCGGATTAAGCAGGACTTTCCTAATCCAGACAACTTGTCAGTCACAGCAACAGTGGCCAAACTTGACCTTAAAATACCATCCGGTGATTTATCTGAAATACTAGGACATGATGCTCACCGTTATTTGTGACCCAGTTTTAGGAACTACTTCACAGTGAGCTCTACAGACTGTCTGGAGTAGATACATCATGATAATCTACAACAAAACACACATTACTTTACCAAGCTAAACAGAGATAAGGTGGTAAGAGGTGAAATGTTTATACTTACATTGGTCCAGCTAGATCATCATCTGTGGCAGCAAGAGGAAAATATGGAGAAATGAACACCAAAAAAAATAAAATAATCGCAAAGAAGCTGCACACGCTGATGAGGTGTTTTGCTTAAAGCTGACATTTAGTGCCCTAAAAATCTCTACGTCTGTGGTTTCCAAGTACAGACTGTTACCAAATAAAAACATAGCCTAGGTGAAGTAACACAGGAGCAAACTGTGTGTGTATGTGTGTGTGTGTATATATATATATATATATATATATATATATATATATATAAAAATGGCTGCGATGCAGAATGAAAAGTAGCTCATGAGAACACTCACAAAACACAGAGTGTAATTAAACATCACAATAAAATGCACGAGCAACTGAGAACAACAGGCAGAATTCAAACTGGGGAAAAAAAATACTGTAGTCATGCACAGACAAGCAGCGCTCACAAAGAACATCTGCTCACTCAAGGAGATTAGCGAGAAGCAGGTCCATGATTATCAGCCCTGCGGTGATAACTCAGCGCAGCATTTTCAAACAGTGACGAAACACTTCAAATTCCTTAGAGTGCTACATGCCATTTCTCTGCTGCGGTGATTATGTTTATGAGTGTGATGCAAAGACATGGCATAATCATTTCATCAAAACAAATAAAAACCTAAAATTTGGAACTGAAACGTTTAAAAGTGCTGATTATAATGTGCCGCAGACGGGAGGATGACGAGGCTGAATGCTTATTGAAATTCACGAGGCATGCAAAGTCTCTCACTTACCACAAACACAGTTTACGTTAGGCAATTTGGAAAAAGGGGAGGATGGGAGATATTAAAACAATCTTTTAAAATATATGCAACAAGCGGAGAGAAGAGAAACCAGGTCCGAGAGTTTCAAGTAAAACAATTCACGAAAGCAAGCAATCTGCATCCGTCTTGATTTGCTGCTTAAAGGCTGTACGGATTCTCGAGGGGACTATATCGCTCCCATATTCTGCAATCTATTCTGATAAAATAATAAACCGTACTGAGAAAACGTTCAAGTGCAATGACTGTAGGCGTTAGTGAATACCACCGACAGCTCTTAGGTGTCAGTCATTCCCTCGGTGCTACAGCTAATCAGCAGGTGACAACATCAAAATTCTGTTTGAGAGGAAAAGGTTGCCCAAATACCATTAATGCATAATATATGACGTAGCTAGACTCTCAAATGAAGTGCTCAGCGCTATCAGAAAATTGCAGGATGGCATACCCAGGTTTCACAGCTAAATTACGAGCATCATTGTTAAGTTTGCATTAGGGACATTGCATTGAGGACACTACAAGGTCCCTGGAAAGGTATTAATAATTGAAACCGCCCACCTCCTCAACACTGCAGTATCATATTTCTCATGAATATTAAAGGCATGATATTGTCCTGACAAGGTGCAACAGTGTCTGCGTTCTGGGTCAGCCTCGCTGCCTGAATTATTGAATGCGGGCACAGCGATGGGCACAGTGTCAGGCAACTCTGCCGGTGCACCTGGGGAAGAAATGCCTTCAAGCTCACACCAGAGCCTTTTCACATGACAGACCCATTAGGTATTTCATTTGTATGCTGAAGGCAGCTAATCTATCCCCAGTTATATTTAAACGATGGACTAATAAAACATTCCTAAGCATTATCAGCGGTGACTCACCGTCTTGTAAATCTTCTGGCTTCTTGCGCTTCTCATAAACAACGATGATGACGACCAGGATGATGATCTCAGCCAAAACCCCCAGGAGAGGCCATAAGGGGGCCAAGTGGCTGCGAACCCTCAGCACAGATTTCTCAGTAGTGTGGCCAATCATGTTGGTGGCGTTGCAGACGTACACCCCTGGATCTTCATCAATGTCCAGATTCAGAATGTGGAGCTCTGTGTAGTTGTCTTTGCTGACGATGTAGATGCGTGTTGAGTTTTCAAAGTCCTACGAAGAGGGAATGAAGAGAATCATCCTGGTGATTTGGCAGTGAGAGTTTTTTTTTTTTTACATGGACAGTTTTTTGTGCCTTAGTTTAGATCATGGAGTATTATAAATTCACCAGACATGTTATTAGGTACACCTGTTCAGCTGCTTATTAACACAAAAGTCTAATAAGCCAATCACATTGCAGCAACTCAGTGCATTTAGGCTTGTAGACATGGTCAAAACGACCTGCTGAAGTTCAAATTGAGTATCAGAACAGAAAAGAAAGGTGATTTAAGCCACTTGCATTTCAGAACCTGCTGATTTACTGGGTTTTCCCACACAACCATCTCTGAATCATCTGAAAAGGATGAGCTGCAGTTGTCTGGGTGACAATGCAGTGTTGATGTCAGAGGTCAGAGAAGAATGCCCAGACTGCTTAGAGTTGATAAAAAGTAACTCAGATAACCACTTATTACAATCAAGGTATGCAAAAGAGCATCTCTGAACGCACAGCATGTCCAACCTTGAAGCAGATGGACGACAGCAGCAGAAGATCACGTGCTGCTTTTTGTCATCTAAGAACAGGAAACGGAGGCTCCAGTTCGCATGGGCTCACCAAAATTGGATGATAGAGGGTTGAAAAAATGTTGCTTGGTGTGATGAGACTAAATTTCTACCTGAATATTTGGATGGTAGGATTTGGCATAAACAACATTAAGGCTTGGGTCCATGCTGCCCTTTATCAACATTTCAGGCTGTTGTGGTGGTCTATGGTGTGGGGGATATTTTCTTGGCCCAGAGCATCACTGACTCACCACCCACCTACGTGAGTATTGTTGCCGATCCACACAGTGTATGCGTCTTCTGATGGCTCCTTACAGCAGGATAATATACCATGTTATAAAGCTAAGATATTTTCAAACTGGTTTCTTAAACATGTCAATGAGTACACTGTTTCTAAAATGACCTACACATTCACCAGATCTCAATCCAATGGAGCACCTTTGAGATGAGGATTGTTTCAAGCACCTGGTTTTATCTATGCTATCACTGATGGGGACGACAAGGAGTACAGAGAACTGACCCAAGGCTTTGTAGACTGGTGCCAGCAGAACTACCTCCAGATCAACACTAGTTAAACCAAGGAGCTGGAGAGTAAAAACATCCATTTTTCTACTTCATTTTGGAGTTCAATAGCATCTTTTAAATAGATTTTTACCAATAAAACTTAGCTTTAACTACAGGGTGGGCTATTTATATGGATACATCGTAATAACATGGGAATGGTTGGTGATATTAAAGTCCTGTTTGTGGCACATTAGTATATGTGAGGGGGCAAACAGTTTGCTAACTGTAGCATTCCCATGTTATTACGGTGTATCCATATAAATGCCCCACCCTGTATATGAATGTAGTTATACTAAAGTAAAAATAAACTGAAAAGAGTATTTTCACTTTTATTTTGAAAGGTTAGCTATTGTTTTTTAATCAACTTTCTATGACCATGGGCTTTTTAAAAAAAACATAAAATCAGACTGAAAAACAACAGTCGTGCCTGAGTGTGATACTTTTCAGGTGAAACTGTTATACCGGTGGGTTTATATTTATTCTGGATACGTTTTCATTTTTCCATTTATTGTAGATCAATTAAAGAATCGATCTACAATATTTTCCATTTGTTGTTTCTGTTAATCGTAAATGTTCTTGTTGAGCTTTAATATTTAGAGTAAGTCAAACACATAAAATCCTTAGACTGCAGCTGTGGGATTTGTGGACCTCTTAACCTTAAGTGTTCTTAATGGTGACCTTCTGCTTAGGTAGCTAGTCTCAATTACTAACAGGAGATTTACTTTACCACTGAAACCAGTTGCTGTACATATGAGACTTAGAATCTTTTTAAAATCATAAAATCTAAACATCACAAATGATATCTAAGCAGTATCATTTAAATTCATATGACATACCTTGTCGTTCCTGCGCCAGGACCACACAGGGTGAGGATAACCCACAGACTTACAGTGGAGTATAGCGTGATCGCCCTCGTTCTTATTCTCACTACGTTTGTGGCCTACAATCTCAGGAGCAGCTAAAACACAAAACACATTTGAGAAATTAATTTTTTAAAAATAACAATAATAATATAATTTTTGTTATTTTTCCAAGTTGAAACTGATAGTAATGCTCTCACTGATCGCTGTATTGCATTTAACCACATTGCACATTTATGAAGTAATCTGAGTAAAAGCTAAAAAACAGTCACATGAGGTAAATCACGCACAGCAGTTTGTTTTTCTTTTTTAAGAATAAAGCACTGAAGCGCAAAGCAGGAGTCATTCCAATAGTCTTTTTACACTGCAGAGACGAACACTTGTGTGTATGAAAGTGAACTTCAAACATAAAGCATTACATTTAATCTAGCAAGAGTATTTGAGCCAATGTAACCATAAACTGTGTGCATTACTCAGTATATTATAAAACGGACTGCAATAATAGAAATGCCCCATATAATATCAAGAAAACTGCCCCTGAAATCCAATTTACCTCCATTGCAATGCAACAGCAGAAAAGGCTGACCAGATTTTACATAATCCCTTTCCATCAGACAAACAAGACACCATCTGCTGCCACTGAGCCGGGCACTGGCTTGATGGAGGTGTCAAGGGCACCGGCTGCCCCTGAGCAGCCAGCAGAGCCGTTTGAGATCACAGGTCCTCACATGACAGCGATACAAGTGCTCAAGGCCATTTTTATTGGTGGCATCTCTAATGTGGCCTCAAAATTGCAAAGACGGCTTTAGCTCGCCAGTCAACACCTACATTTAACTTCGATGGTGGCGTTGGCCGAAGGAGTCGTGCTGAAGTTGTAGACACACATGTACACTCCAGCGTCATCTGCTCTTGGTCTTTTCAGCCTGCGGAGCAGAAATACATCTCACGTGAACGCACGCCAGGCTGCTAAACACCTCTTCCTCTCAGACTCGTGAAAAAAGCTGACCTGTACTCAGTGTTCTTGCTTGAGTCACGCGTTTCTGGGATCTCCTCGCCGTTCTTCATCCAGAAGCTTTCCTGGACGGTGCTGTGGGGGCTGGTCAGGTTGCACTGCAGTGTGAGGCTTTCTCCTTCCACTGGAAGCGTGACGTGTTCAGAGGCAGCAATGGACGGCTCTGCAAGAGAAGCGTAGCTCAGCCACAGCAGAAGTAGTGGGTGAAGGCGCGCTGGAAGATGTAGAGTTCAGACACTACAGACGACTAGTCGTTTTTCAATAATGCTCAGGAATAGTTTAAAGTGGGAGGAATTATTCTGGGCATCCCAGCCTGCTGAAGTAAAGGTCCATTCACTTTCTGGGTAGCTGGACATGAAATACACCCATTCGAGCAACTACATTACCAAATATAACTTTACAGAACAAAATGCAGCTTTTGGATTACAGGCTAGCTTTGGAGAAGCACTTGGTTTAATTATAGCAGCTGGATGTGTTTTGTGTGAGGCATGATGATAAGTATACATCTGTTACAATGCAGGTGGATAAAAACAGGTTTCACATTACAGTGACTCCAGAACATTTTTTATGAAGCACACTAATGTTATTTATACCAATTCTTTGGACTTACCACAACGTATTTAGCTTCATGAAAATATCCCTCCACTTAATTTAGAGATTAGATTTATTACCTTAAAATGAACCTCTTACAACAATTAAAATCTGCCTCCTCGTTTGCATCCCGTAGAAATGTAACCTGCCGAAGCTGCTCGCTTCAGTTGGCTTTTAAACAATGAAGATCTTAATTGGAGAGTTAGTATTCTGCTTAATCCTGATTATCTATGTCTTGTTTGCACAGTTAGACACCAGTGAAGCTCTTAATCTTTAGTCATGGCCTAAAACACCGTCTGCAACAAAGCACCTGCAGGTTTGTGCTGGCAGGTACTCAGCCCCCCTCCCAAAAAAAAAAGAAAAAAAACTGTATGGAGATTTGGCCCCCATTTTGTCCTTTTATAAGGCTGAAGAAGATACACGTCTCTAGAAAAAGCACTGTGATTCTGGTGAGCAAACAAGAAACTACTGTTAGCGCTAATATGAGTCAGAAATGAGACGTGCTATCACTCTCCAAATAAAACATGGCTGTGATGAAGGTGATACCAAATGCCAAATACCAAGCAGGTTACAACAATGAGAGAAAAACCACAATTATAATGAATAATTCTGGGAAATTAGAAGAAAAGAGGAGAAAAGGGAGGAAAAGAAGGAAAAAACTGGGCTCTGTGAGCTCTATTTAAAGTAAGAGTTGAAATGTGCGATGAGCATTAAAAGAATACTACTCAGCTCTGCTTACTAAAGATAACAAGAAGATGAGAGGATGGTGTTTTTTCCTCATTTCTCAGGTCTGTGGGGGAGGGTGGCACCTACTTAGGAAGCTACTGCTCCTCTGGAGAGGTATGATGGAGGCTGAATCACACAGGAACTGGGGGAGGATTGCTCTACACTGACCACTCACTCTGCAGCACTGTTATAGTGGCCTGAGCACGGATCCAGGTGGTGGCTGGATTTTGGTGGAGGTCATTACGCCGTGGGTCATTGCTGGCTCTGCACTCGTATGTCCCAGAATCGTCTAGTGTGAGATGCGATACCCCCAACACGCTCACAGCATTGATGCCGTAGGCGGTGCTGATGGACACCCGCCGCTTCCGGGCACCATCCCACAGCTGCCTGAAAGAGTCGGCTCGGTTGATCTCAGAGTACCACCACTGGATTTCGGGGGTGGGGTTACCTACCACGTCACAGTACAGCTCAAAGGTGTCACCTGTGAGCTTAGTCTCAGAAAGAGGTGATTTCACAAAGCCCGCCGGTGCTGGTGGTGGTCGTTTACGGGGGCAGCGTGTCCAGAGGCAAAACAAAAGAGGAGAAACAGGTGCAGGTGAGAAAGTAACAGGTTAAATTAAAACAGGAGCCAGACAAAGGACATGACCATATGAAAAGAACAGCAACAAATGCAAAATAATGAACAGAACAGACAAATTATGTTAAAATTAGAAATAAATAAATGAATAAATGACAGCTGCTTAACTCCCCAATTAATCTAATCATTTCCTGGTTTATAAAATGTCTAGCCATGTTGATAAATTCAGATTAAAGTTGCAAATATCATCATTTCCCTTCATTAATTAATCTGGCACTCATTAGTTTTTCCCAATTGAAAAGGGACTTGTTATCAGAGGATCCTTGAAGCTAGTCTCACCACTTGTAGCCACCTCAAGGCACAACTTTAATTTCAGTAGTCCCAGGGATGAATAAGGACACCAGTCAAATCTGACTAAAGAAAGGTTCCTGGTTTGTAAGTAATTCTTCTACTACCAACTTTGCTGTTACACAATCACCCCACAGATTTCAGTTAAGCATTATTTTTTATCCACAGTGCGTTCTGAATCTAAATCAAAGAAGAAAGAGATTGAGATTTTGGGTTCATCCTATTCTAACTAGGAAACAACATCAGGAAGTTGGTTTGATCAAGAAGTTGAATCTGTATTACCGTCTCTTTTGCACATATTTCAACAAATCGGTGAAAAATCGAGTTTTTAGTCCAAAAAATAAATGCTGAAAATTTCTCCTGCAAAATTTAGCGGTTGGTGTGAACCGCTACAAAAAACATTTTTGCACAAATCTTACACCAAATTTAAAATAATCCTTTTATACATCTCATCTTGGGTCTGTCAGCTCAAGACGTTTTAAATCCTCTCACCTTAAGCCAACTTCACCATGTTCACAACAAGCACCCACTGTATATATACAGTATATATTACACAAAATATGAAAAAACAAATCAGATGCGACCATTCGCTCTCAACCAGAGCCCAGCGCAATGTGATGGCGTCTGATGCAAAGTCACAAATCAGTTCATTGACAAACAGTTTCACCTCTGATGAGCCATCAGTCATCACACTGACAATTTTTGCTCTGGGAAAAAGAGACAACCCCAGATCTGTCTAAACTATTATTGCTGCTATTCCTGGGAAGCTTTAATTCAGTTCTTCTGGGACGGCCCTGCGAGGCTGCTCTCACTTGGTTCTGTGCAATTAATGGCATCATATAAAACTGCGCCTGGCTCGCACAGCGCTCACATCAAGAAGTCCTCCACACGACCTTGTCATTTTCTTGGCTGTATAATAAAAATATCTCAGTGCTCAGAAAATCGTGTTTATGTAATTACTGAATAACAAGGACACTGATACAACAAGCTGCTTATAATTTGACTGGATTGAAATGTCTCCCTTTTAAATGTAAATGCTTTTAATCATGGAGGTGGAAGTTATATGCACGCTCTATAGGCTCTGCAGAGAGACAAGAGATTTATAGAAGCCTCAGCTCTGGGTCTCTGGGGAGTGTGTGGGCACATGGTGATAGACCCCCTGCGTTTCCATAGAAGCACTCTACGGCAACAAAGTAGGAAGAAGAGACAGCCAACCAGATGAGACAGACCATCACCTGGTTTCTGTGTCAAGCTGCTGACATCACAAGACTCTGCTGCACAGCCTGCAACGGGCTCCTGAAGACCAGACCATATACAGTGTGCACATAAAGATTCCTTCATACATGCAAACCAGCAAATAACATGACTGAAACCTAAAGCCAGCCCCTCAGCTCTTATCGCAGAAATGCTGAGAGACAGACCCTGTCAACTCCGACAGAGTAGACATGTTAAAAGTGCTGAGCCAGTAGCCACGTCTTCGCACACCACTGTACAGCACATGTCCGAATGACGCCACTCGTGTCAAGAGGATTTCGGTTTAGTTTTGTGTGCGTCTAATGTGTGGGATGTTTTTTTTCCATTAGTGAATAATAAGCTAGCTTAATATCTTAAATTAAACATGATGTCCACAGATAAAGTTCTCACACAGCACTTCAAAGTTTGAATGCAACTTAACTCACATTCCTGGTGCAACTCAGCGAGAACGTTCATGACTGACGCGGGCCCGGGATTTCGAGGGGTGGAAAACTATGCTACTCCAGCTGGATTTCAAAATGTGCTTCTTTTCACATGAGCTGGGCGAGGACAGCTCACCAAACTGTGGAGAATTGTAATGTTTGTCCTTTTCATTAAGGCCTAAATTAACTACACAGTCCCTATTTGAGCCACAAATCAAAGCTCCTTCTGTTAGCAATGAATCTGTTTTTACTCACAGTGAGATGTGTTTCCTGTACTGCTGTCACAAAGACTGAGGTTCACTTTTATTTTTTCACCTCCTTTATCCCCTCCAATTAATTTTTTCTTTAATTTGTTACTTTCCACAGTTACTGCGCTTGTTGCTGCTGCGCTATTTCCATCGCTTAGGGAACGCCACCGATGAATGCCAGGGAAAATAAAATTGCTATCGTCTTCTCATTTTTTAGTGATTTTCCTGAGAGATTTTGTATCTGGTGCAAGACAGAATTACATCATAAACCTTTGATGATGGGAGGCAACCAATCTAAAAACAAATGGTGCTAAACTCAACAGCCATAACATTGTGCAAAGAACATTTAGTTCATATTGACATGTTAAAGGAAATAATTTGCCTATTTCACACTTAAACGTATAAAAACCCAATGCAACATTGTAAAATTGTACTTGTTGTAGCAAATCACATCACATTTATTATCAAGAGATCTATTCATATACGCTATATCAGCGTGACAGTCCAAAAATCTGTTATTGCCATCTAACGTTTTCATTGTCTGTGTTCCCAATTTGCTTCTAAATTCTTTCTGAATTTTAATGTGCATAAAGCACCTGTGTGTGTGTGTCTTTTGTTCTCTCAATGAAATAATTGTTTGGTCTTTAGATGTTGTGTTTATATGCTTTTTCTGGTAAGATCTGTGCATTATTGGTCCTTGTATTTTTTATATTTTTGCACTTTTTGACTCGTGTTTTTTTTGTTGTTGTTGCTGTTATTTTTAAAACCTTTAGCCTTTCAGTTTGGTTTCAGTTCAAGTTCAGGTGTTTATTTTTATTCTTTGCAGCAGTTTTAGTTTCCTCTGTTTTTCCCCATCTGTTCCTCTTTCTTGTCTTTCTACTAGCGTCTGTTCCACTGTTTGTTATTCTTGTTAGCCGCTGCATTTACCCTTTGTCTTCTGAGCTGTTCCCTCTTTTGCTTTGAAGGTTACCTTTCTGCCGTTCCTCACTCTAGTTTTACTTTCAGCTTGCAATAAACTGTGTTGATTAGGTTAAGCTGTGTCTCGTTCCTCACCTGTTTCCACCTGCCCATCAGTCCAGTATATAAATAGTCCTAACTTTCTTTTGTCCTTTATCAGAGTGTTTGTTCCTGTCCAGATCCACACTATGACACTGTGTGCCAATTTCAGTTTTATTATTCAAACTGCAAATCCAAGAGCACAAACTGACAGCAGACGACCTCGAATCGTCTGACGAATCCAATTTAAATGTGTCTAAAATGAAGAAATTCTGGCCACAGTCCCAGTTTATGTTCCAACACATACTGAAGAAAACAGCAATTACATACATTCACATGCTGGACGGCATTAACTGCACAGTGAAAATGGTTCTAATATATATGTCTTAAATGTTTTGATATAGTTTAATAAACATTTCGAAGCACTGAAATGCAACATAAGGGAGCTGATGTGTTATAGTAACAATAATTATACTTACATGCAATCAGATTAAACTGAATTTGACAACTGTGTTGTTCAAGCATGTTAATCTTTTATATGCATCGTGGGGCTTCAGAAAACGGCACTACTTCTCTTACATTTCCCTGTAGGGATTGCCTTTGATGTTAGATATAGCAGAAATGCACATTAGAGATGAAACAATGCATCCATCCAATAATTATCAGAAAAAAAGAATAAATGTGGGCAATTGTGGTTAGTCGTGATCAGTAATGGTTTCTGTCATTTACCAGTCAAAAATACAAACCGTTCACTGGTTCCAACCTTTTAATTGCAGGATTTAGCTTTTTTCTCTCTCCTGTGTGCTCCTCAGCTGCTCGGGGTTTAAATTTTCATGAGAAACATGTCAGCATCGTCTTATGTTTCGGAAAACTGTGATGAGATTTGTTCCCCGCTTTTTCCCTTCTTCGTCCATATGTTGACCAAATAATCTTTTAGCCAAGTGAGAGTAATAATCAATGGATTGCTGGGCAATGAAAACAACTGATATTTAATATCCCCGGCAATTATCGTGCTTTATATGCTTTTGTTAATTTGCTCTATTATAATACAATACATTGTTACATCTTTTAGTTTTACATGTTTAAATCGTTTCCTTAAACACAATCATTTTCAGTCTCTGGAAACATCTACAAATGTAATGCAAATTATTTGTAATTTGGCCAATTCATCAGGTACTGAAACAATAAAATCTACAACTCAAACTGAAATAGCTCACAAAATATCATTTTTTAGCTTCTGAAAATAAAACATTACTTTGTTTTTCAGACTGTTTAAACAGTCTGTTATGTTAACTTCACTTTAGACTCATACGTCCACAGAGAGTAGGGCTGGGAATCACAAGATACGATCTTGATACATTGGGAAAAGAATCATTTATTTCATCTGTGCACTGTTGTGTTACAGATTACTATTGCATTAAATACCAATTCAATTAACTGGCAGTCTGATTTTTCCCCCATGTGAGTCAGTTTCTTCTCCTTCTTCACTTCATTTAAAACATTAGCTCAAAGAGAAATGAAGAAGTGAGTCTGGTAAATCAAACTGGATTGATATCTATTTAGAGCAGGGGTGTCGAACTCCAGGCCTCGGTGTCCTGCAGGGTTTAGATAACACCCTGGGTCAACACATCTGAATCAAATGATCAGTTCATTACCAGGCTTCTGGAGAACTTTAGGACATGTTGAGGAGGTCATTTAGCCATTTAAATCAGCTTTGTTGGATCAAGGACACATCTAAAACCTGCAGGACACCGACCCTCGAGGCCTGGAGTTCGACACCTGTGATTTAGAGCATCTGTATGTTGTGAAAAAACATTGATATTTGGTGTCAGAGGGGGGATAACGCATCTCGACAGGAAGCAACATGATATACTGTTGTATTAATCTTTTGAGATATAGCTTCACATATAAGCAGCCAAATGGATTCTGGGACGTGACTGGCAGCAGTGTTTGCTAATATTCTGAAGAAAGGAAGAAGAAAAAAGAAGAAGAGAGAAAACTACAATATTTGAAAGGCAATAAAGAAGATTGATCTCTACCTCCTCCTGTCGGATGTAAAGCCAGTATTTCTAATCAGAAGTCTGAGCTTTGTCAGCTCTGATTGGAGAAGAGATGTTGTGAGTGGGCGCACAGTATAGGAGGAGATGTGTAATGCAATCCTACACATGGACCACTCCGGGGAAGGCCGGAGCTCAATCCATTCTCACTCGTCCGCACACAGAGCTCGCAAAGGAATGCAAGAAGCACTGCACGCTTACAGTATACACAAACAGATAGTGGACTGAGAGGGGGGTTACACAGCCCTAATCAGTTTGGGGGGGGATGAGGTTTACGAGCTGAGGGTGAATTGGGCAAGTGGAGCTGCGCTGGGAAATCAATGCCATTCTGCAGTGCAGCACGTCTCAGCAAAGAGTTAACAGATTCACTGTTGCAAGAGGACATTAAAGCCATAGTTCCCAGTGCAGCATCTCTGCTCTAAAAATAGGAACATGCAGCAAAATGGACTGATGCTATTTACAGAGCTGCGCTTCTAAGGTCCTACATAATTACATGGGCCTATGTTACAAGGACCTGCACTGATGCATACAATTATTTCACTCTGTAGCAGAGGATTTTATTTTTTCTGAATTCCTGATCCCTATCCTGCCATTTCTGAGCAGACCCACGCGTGACAGCATGTTGACTGGACATGTGAGAGAGTGTTTGTGTGCTGGCATCACAGGTTTTAAACTTCAGTGTGGCACGATCCTACCCGTGGACAGAACTTGTCCTTGCTGCCTGAACCGCTCATGTATCGGCTCAGTATTCAGCTCCACACTTCAAAGGACATTTTAGGGACACTGCACAGGCCTCCTTATGGCTCACTACAGCAGTACAGATTGTAGCCCATTAATGATTTATTAACCCTTCTTTTCTAACGCTGGGCCAACAAGACGCCAATCGATCCGCTCTGGTGTGTGTTTCTGTCAGAAACAGAGGATTATCTAATGAGGCTGGAGGAATCTTGCAGTAATTCATTTAAAGTAACATTTTTTTTAATGCATCAAAGTCAGCCAATGCCAGTGCCTCCCTTAAAACCGCATTCTCACCATGATGTGTAACACGCTGCGTTTTTCTATAGGGAGAGCTTTCCTACCGTTCTGAGATGAGACGGACTGCAGCATCAGAGCTCCAAATATCGCCACCGAGAAGATCATGACTGCAGCTCTGCGTTTGCCAGGTATCATCTTCGGAGACGGTGGACGGAAAATGCCGGTAGGAGAGCGCTAAGGTGACCTGCGCCGGTTATGATGGAGCGGGCTGGTTCGCCGAGGCTCGCACCTCCAGATACTCCCCAGTCGTGTCACGTACTGAGTCAAGCGTCGCTAGGTAGACGAGCGTGAGCCCACAGAGGTGCAGCTGGCTACCTGTGCCGCTCTGCTGACAACCCGGTGCAGATACCGAACCACCTTTTTTTCCTTTTTTTTTTTCTTAACCACCCGTTACATCTTTAATCCCGCGAGATCTTGGAGGAGCGCAGAGACAAGACGGTGCGTCCAATGGCAAAAGTGAAGCACAAATCGATTTTTGTTGAAATAAGATAATAACCATGGTCTTTATATGTATACTGCTAGACCTGTTTTGTACGAAGCCCCTTAAGAATTAGAATATAGTTGCGATTGTTTCTTTCTTGTAGTCAAATTAAGCCGTTGTCGCCTACAGTGTCTGCAAACCAATCAGAAGCGAGTGTTTCTTTGACACTTCATCCTTCAGTAGCTACTCGCTGAGCAGCCGTGTCCTGTGTCAAGCAGGTTCTCACTCGGGCTGACTAAGCCTTGAACCCAACAGCACCTGTGGCTTTACGCAAACTTTTAATCCAATTTCTCTTTGAGCAAATATAGGTTAATGGCAGGCTGACACCTACAGCACAGAAGCACAAGTCACTTGGTCTTCTACATCATGAATGTGGGGCAAAGAGTATGGTGTCTTTTGCCTGCAGAACTGCGTTAATTGTGCTATGGGTTCAATGAGGTGCTGGAAACATTATTTTTGATCCACGCTGACATGACAGCATCACACAGTTGCTGCAGATTTATCACCTGTACATCCATGATGCCAATGTTCCGTAGCACTACACCTCAAAGGTGCTCTGTTGGATTGAGATCTTGTGACTGTGGACGCCATGTGAGTACAGTTAACTCATTTTCACGTTCAAGAAACCAGTTCAAGGGGATCTGAGCTTCGTGACATGGTGTGTTATCCTACTGGAAGCATCCATTAGAAAATGAGTATTCTGTGGTTTTAAAGGGATGGACAAAGGGATGCAAATACGTCACTTTACCACCAGCAACCGCCTGAACAACTGATACAAGTCAAGAAGAATGAATGCATTTATGTTGTTAACACTCAATTCTGTCTCTACCAGACCAGGCATTATTGTAGTATCAGTTTCCTGTTTTCAGCTGAGAGGAGTGGCATTTGGTGTGGTCCTCTGCTGTTGTAGTCCATCTTCCTTCTCCGTTCTGATGCTCAGTTTGAACTCCAGCAGGTTGTCCTGATCGTGCCTAGATGCACTGAGATGCTGCCATTTGATTGGCTGATCACATATTTGCATTAATGTGAGATTGAACCAGTGTATTGAACAACGTATTAACCAAGAGTTTGTACTCATATCACCATACTTGCATCGTTTGCATAATTATATGTAAGTGAAAAAAAGCATCTACATATCAAATAAAAAGAAACAATTCAATTCAGCTTTATTTATATCGCAACCAATGACAACAACTGTTGCCAACACTCTATATTGTAAATTAAAGATTTGTTTCACCACTTCTTCAGTCAGTAATTAAATTCCTGTATTAATAAAAGAGAAAAGTAAAACCTTAGAGTTATTTCAGCAGCTTTTCTTTGTGATAATCACCTTTGGTATTCATGAGGTATGCCTGTTTAGATCAGTACATTTCTTTTTGAATTCATATCTGTCATTTTGCCTTCATCGGCATTTCAGTGTGGGATGAGGGGACAGGAAAAACGGTGCACAGTCCCACATAAAGTGGGTCATCTGGACTCCCAGATATCACAGATGGATAACAGATTTAAAAACCTGAATATATAGGTCAAGAAATACAAGGAATGCACTAGCACAATAATCAGTTTATATCCAGGTTTTCTCAGCCTGCTGTATAAAACTGCTGAGCTGGTTCAGTTGGTTCTGACTTTTAAAAAATGGACGATTTCTCACAGTGACTTTAAAACAGGGTTCGTTGTTGGGGCATAAGTGGCAGGATCATCAGTCAGAAAGCCTGAGTATGAAAATAGTGTGACTCATTTTGGCCAGTAAGTGAAGAGATGACCCAAAAGCAGCATGCAAAGGTAGGCAAAATACAAAACCCAGATAACAGAAAGTTCACAGGAACAGCAGCAAATATACAGGAGGGAAAGTAAACAGACAAAAGTGAGGGCAAAGGCAGGTGTTTATATAAACACATAGGCACGGACAACTATCCTTAGACTACACTGATTAACGCGAACACCTAAAAAACAACTATAAATTCAAAACAAGAACCAAAACTTATGCAACCCTGGAACCTGTAAGACTGCAACAGTACAATTTGTCAGTCAACTGAGCTGCACTCTCCACCATCACCATCAAAATACCAAAACAGAAGACATCTGTTAAAATAATAATGTTCCATTCCTCCAGTAAAGTTTCAGACGTCTGGAGAATCACTGCAGAGAGACAGTGATGCTGTTCTGGTGGTCCAACACTTTGCTTAAGCTGTTTTCAAGCATGCACTGAAACGCTGAATATTAATAGACATCCCTAAACAGAGGTGCATGTGAGAATGTAATAATTGTAATATATATTGGACAGGACATCTGGAGTGTTACCTTACCCCATCAGACGTTAGTATAATACACTAAACACGATACTGTTTCTCATTTTCTTTCATCCTTATAACATGATGTAATCAGTTGTTTGGACTCTTGTTATTATTTACTATGCAATAAGAACACTTCCTATCAGCCAAGACTAGCAGGAAAATCTAATGTTAATCAGTATAATGTCATTTTGAGTTGAAACTGTATTTTCAGAAATTACTCTTTTGCAAAAGAAAGTTACTACTTGCCTCGAGTGATTCTTCTCTTTTCTTTTTATTAAAAAAGGCAAATTTGTGCTCGTTCATCATCATAACTACCGGTATTCCCACATTCAGTGCCCGACACGCTTATGGGTGTATTTAACCACTATTTTTGTTATGCATTATAAAAGTCCGCTTTCATTCACGGTGAATGCGGGGGTGGCGCTGACAATGTCAGTATTTTTTGGGGAAGCCGCAGAAGATAAGAAGTATGCAGTAAAAAAGATGATCCACTGTTTCTTTTTTTTTTTTTTTTTTTTTTTTTTTATTATAGATGTTTTAAGGCTATGAAACCCCTCACTACACACTAGAGATGGACCGATCCGATATTACGTATCGGTATCGGTCCGATACTGACCTAAATTACTGGATCGGATATCGGAGAGAAATAAAAAATGTAATCGATCCATTAAATATCAAAAAAGCACCTCACAAAACTTGCGACATTGCATAACTCGGCTTATAACCGTAGCACGTTGGATCAGTGTGGTCACGTGATAGAGCGGCTGTGGTGTGCGATACCTTTTTTTTTTTTTTTTTTTTTTTTTTTTGTATATGTATCAACACCTGTTGCAGACAAGCGCACACACAAGCAAAGAGAGTCACAAATACAGGTTTAATCACAACAACGGGGGATAATAAGGTCACAAGATGACATTTCAAACTGATGCATGACACAAGTCATCCTAACGACTGTATAACGAGCTCAATGTTGTTTAAAAGCCTGATAAATAAACGGTTTATTTATTTGTATGTCGACTGTGGCAAAGAGGTTGCTCTCATCTGAGGCAGAACTAAGCAGCCAGCCAACAGCTGTTTGTTATAGGTCAGATATTCACAAATAACTAGGCATGCGTATGGAAAATCTGTGTGCAAGTGAACAACATAGCATTGAGGCAAACCAATTACAGCACGTTTTCAGCTGAAGTTTGGATGGAAAAAGTGAAGGTGAAAACTGCATATGTCTCTGTGTCAACTAAAGAGGCTAATAAATACAAGCATGTAAAAAAAAAGAGAAGAAGCTTGGACTGAAAGTGTGAGAATATTTCCACTCCATCAAAGTCTGTACTGCAGATAGTTACCCCTTGAAAATAGCTGTCCAAACATGTATAATGTAATTAAAAGTATTTATAAAAACAACTTTGCGGTTATTTGTTGTCATTTAATCATCACAGAGTTATGTTGGCTCATACGCCACAGAACCAGACAACCCTGCCCTTTTTTTTTTTTTTTTTTTTTTTTTTGGCCTGTCCCGTTTGGCTCTTTTGCATCAGAATTGTTGTCTAAAGGCAAAGAAAGATGCCCAACGGATTTACTTTACCAAACTGACCATCCCAGCCTTGCCGTAATGGTCCATTTGATTCACCTTTTATTGTTTATTTTATTTTCACTTACTGAATACGGGACAGACTTGACTGGGGGAAAGAAGGGGAGAAAGAAAGAGGGAAAGAGAAACAGCTGAGAAGAGGGACAGGGGAGAAGGGCAAAAGACAAAAACCAACAGAACGGGCAGAGAAGAAAAAAATGCATATATCAATCACCTGGATCACCTGCTGAGAAAGAAAAAAGAAAGCAAGCAGAAGAGAACAAGAGTAATAGAATAAACAACATCACAATGATATATGGGAATATGACAGTAAATACTAAATGTCAAACATTATTGTGCAGCACATAAGATCAACAGAACACAGTGTGCTTTGAGGTAGGAGCCAAAAAGGGTGTAGTTTGTGGGTGTGATCACCCGTGTGTACACCTGTGAGCATGGACGCGCTTGTTTTTTGTTTTTTTAAAAGGTTCCTTCATGTAATAATCTGCTAGAGGGTGTGGGGGGGCCACAGCCCCGTCCTCCAGGGCGTGAAGCAGGTGTGGAAGAGATCAAAACTCCAGACATCCAGAGGCCCCCAGAACACAAGAGACCAAGGAAGACCAACAGAGGGGCAGCTGCGCCACTGTCCCGGAAAGAGCTGAGGAGAGTCCCAGATGAGGGCTCACTCAGCAGCCGCGGAGCAGAAGCCAGGGGGAGTTGCAGTGACGCGCCCGTGAGCTCCGCCGGCAGCCAGCTGCGCCTGAGTGACCGAGCCCCAGGCCGAGAGGCCGGGGGCACCCCACCTCCGAAGTGGCCCGAGCGAGCCCCAGGCTCCAGGCCCCGATAAGCGGCCGCCAAGGAGTGAGCCGGTGTGTACCTGGACGCCCATCCCCGGACACAAAGAACCACCAACGCACCGATGTCTGAGGGGGTCCGCCACTGGCAGGGGAAGTGGTGGTAGGGGGAGATAGGCCTCCAAACCTTGGAGGGCCTGAGATGTCCCCAGAGAGGTGGCGCCTGACACCCAACCTGACATATAGACACAGACATACAGGCACACACAGATACAAACATCCATTCCCACCCTCATGCTCTCATATGCACTTACTCCACACTCAACCAACGTGGAGACAGACATAAAGAGACGTTGTACACACGATCACACTCCCCAAGCATACTCTACAAACCGGGTCTAGGTGCCCCCGCCCCTGGAGGGGGGAACTGCACCCAGACCCAGGTG